TGCTTTGTCAGAAAGTCAAGCAGCGCACAATTCTTTGTATCCTGAGCTTCCATCCACTTTGATACCAGTCTTGGCACCCACACTTGAAAAAGTGGGTAACGCCCTGGCTTGATAGAAACAAATAAGTCTGAGAATGGGAGGCACTTCCTAGCAAAGTGCTAACTAGACACTAGATTCTGGGATGAAAGAGTCGAGGTTCTCGGTGGGTTTGCTCCTGGGTTCTTACTCGCTCAGTCAGGTCAGCCAGTCAGTCAGCAGGGATGTAAGTGAGCACATCTTACAGGCTCATGTGGGCAGGTCTCTCCAGGGCTAGCAGGGGCTCCTGGATGGAGAAGTCTTTGGATGTGGAGTCAGCAGTGGTTGCCAGCTGGGGCTCTCACTCTGGAGGCACTGGGTGAGGCAGGAGATCATTGCAGACATCTCATTTTTCATCGTCTCCCATCAGCTCCATTTTTCCCCTTGAGCTGAGAATGTGTGACTCCATTACTATGCTCTTCTCCTGGGATGAAGTGGAGGACTAGCCAGGAGGCCTCAACTTCCTCAGGAAGTGTTTCTTGCTCTCTGTCTGATGTGATCCCTCTGCCTCCTGAAAACTTATTCTACTCTGTCTGTACTGTCCTTGTAGTGCCACGTCGTCACACTTGGTGTCATTGTGTTATATTCCCTTGGAGTGGATGTGGTGGTTTACCCCCCAGATTCCCACCGTCAGGCCTAAGGCACACATTCCCTCAACTTCTAGGAATGTTGCTCACTGAAAGCTTGAGGCTAAGTCCCTCCTCACGTATTTCCCTCTGCAGAAAGGAGTTGTACTGTCCAAAGGCACTCTCCCTTCCAGAAGGAAGCCCACACTCAAATACGTTCAGTAAAAACACAAGGACACATCTCCTTTGCCCCAGTTTGGGACATCTCTGAAGGGCATCTCCGTCTCAGAGTTCCCTGTGGGATGGGGTGAGACGTTTGTTACATTACAGTTCAACTCCCACTCTGTCCAATCCTGCCCCTCTCGTCCCACACAGGTGTTCTTGAGAACGCTCCTCAATAAACTTCTTGCTCCCAACTCTCTATCTCAGACCCAGGGACCCTTGTAAAGAATTGGCTATCACATTCTTTGTTATCTGCCTTCTCCGTCCATTCTGCTCCAGCACCCTGGTGTCCTGCACAGTGCTGATCAGAGTAGACCATCAGCAAAATTCTAACAGAAAACAAACAAATGGTAAACTTGAACAAAGATTTGACAGAGACTTTCTCTACTCGCCTTCTCAAGGATGTACTACCTCTGCATCCAAAGTAAACACTGAACGTCTCTTGTATGCAAAATACTTTCAGAATATGCAAACAATACAAAATACATGCAGTCTAGGGAATTACTAGATAAAGCATTTCCTGAAGAAGTTTGCCTTTTGAAGCCTGGAGAGCGTTCATTTATTTTTTTTGCCAAAGGACACATGTGCTCACAAAGAGGAAACTGGAAAGGGAGAAAACACTCCACAATGGGGCATGGTCTTGACATATCCCTTCTCCATTTCTCTCTCCTTTCAGGATTTTGGGCATGCGCACACACATACCTGGCGTGTTTCTCAAGCAACTAGGGCCCAGGATTCAAACCACTGGGCTGGCATGTGGGATCTGGTTCCCTTAACTACTAGGCTATAGGGCTGTTTCTGTTTATTAATAAAGTCGGGAAGCGTGGCCCAAGCTCACTTTAGTCTTTCTGCTTCAGGTGGGCAAGTCTCTGCGCTCTCAGGAGAGGCATGGTATAAATCTGTTTTGTCTTGAGCATTCTGGCAAAATTTTCAGCATTGAGGAAGAATGTCAACAACCCGTTCTGCTGATTGCAGGCAATCTCCAAAGATCTTTTTAACTAAAATCTCCCCTAGTTTTGCTCAATGGTAACGTGATTATTAGTGGCAGCGCCTGTAGCTTAAGTGGGGCTGTATTTCTGCTCTAATAGGTCCCAGTCAACATTCCCAGCGAGAGGTTGTGATGCTTTGGTCTCAGCTTCCCTCATGGATTGGGTTTACTCTGCTTATGGGCCTGCTGTTCTGTTTGATTAGCCTTACTGTCTTCTGTCGTAGCTGCCCCTCCTAACCGCCCTTGCTATGGGGACAGGGAGGGATACAAGTTCGAACGGGATTACAGATTGCACAGATCCAGGAGGTGAAGTTCTTAGTTGGACGTTGTTAATATTTGTTTTTCTTTTTCAATTTTTTAAAAATTCTTTTTTTTTTGCCTGAGGGCACATGTGCTCACCAGAGAGAGAGACAGAGACAGAGACAGTGAGAGGGAAAATGAGCAATCACCCCCTGGCATGGATGGTCACATTGCAGTCCCTTCTTCTCCATCCTCCTCCTGGGATCTTGGGCATGCATACACCCACCGGGTCCAGGGCTCAAATCACGGTCTACCATATGGGAGTCTAGTGATGTAACCACTACGCCCTCTGCTTGTCCCATATTTATTTTTCTATCCCCAGGTTTTAGCATAGTGTCTGGCTCCAAAATGTTTGAATAAATCAATGAACCCACAAACAAGATCAAGAAGCTCCAAAGGCAGGTGGGTCTGGCCAGCTAGTGAAGCTTTTCCTCATTCTTTGCAGCTAAGAAGTATCAGCATGTGACCCTTAATTCCCTCAGAGCACAATGACCATTACAGATGTGTCTTTCCTGTACTTTTTTCCTTCTTCAATGTAAACAGCACCTGCTTCTTGGGGCAGAGAATTCTCACCCCAACTCATTTCATTATAGCTGAGACCCACCTCCACACTCTTTGGGATCACACAGCGGCTCCAATTTCCAGACGAGTCCTGCCTCCACCACTAGGATTTAGTTCCCATCAAAGATTTCCCAGAAATAACTTCCTCTCCATCCCAGGCACTCTCCACCCAAGGGTTCAGCTGACAAAGGCCCCTTAGTTCTCTCTTCTGTAACCAAGGTTTCTGGATAAACCCAACATCCCATTCCAGCCCTGGGCAAACTCATTCTGTATCCAGTTATGTTACTTATTAATCAGGTGAGCCTCCTGTTTTGTTTTCTTTCATTCTTGATCTTCAAAGTGGCTTTGCCTATTTCTACTCTGATTTATTGATTTTTATTTTACCCTTTTCATTGCAAATCCATGAGATCATCCTCACAGTTGTTCACAGTGTTCTACATTTACGGTTTTTCTGTGGCACCCAACATGTGACAGCAGGTTCCTTCTGGGGCTCTCAGTATTATTGACTGTTCTAGCTCCTGAGCATAGCTTTGGCTCCAAGGTCACTACCCCTTAGTGGGCCACTTCTGAACCACCACTACCCACGCCTGCCCCTTGCTCCCCAGTTACTGGCTCACTCAAAAATTAAATATGGAGTGCCCAAGGGACCCATGAAAGGTCCTTGGGATATAGGATGTATATACCTTGGTGGTTCCTACCTCCAAGGAGTCCACAGTGAGGGAGTGCTGGGAATGCAAAGCGATCCATGCAAGGATGGAAATATTCATGTAGGCGCATGGGAGAGGACCTCCAAACTAGGGGAGAGGAAATGACCTGGGAAGGCCTTCTAAGGCAGCAGATGCCTGAGTTAGGGCTTATAAGATAAGTAGGCAATTCAAGCGGTCTTCAAAAGTTCATGGATATTATGATAAAAGTTATGCACACATTTCAAAATCTTTTGCACCACAATAGACTTACACTTTAATTCCACTTCCCACAAGCTGTCTGAAGTCTCCTTATAGCCTGATGAAATAAGAGGCTGCAGCATGCATTTACCATTCATGCATCAAGTGTGTGCTGAGGACCCACCAGGTGCCAGGCAGAGTTCTAGGAGCTAGGGAGACAGAAGTGAACAAAACAGAAAGTCCTGACCTCATGGAACTTGACTTCTAGTTGGAAAAGAGACAATGGGCTCAAGAAATAAGTAAAACACATTAGAAGGTGGTAAGTGTTCTAAAGAGACAAAATAAATCGAGGGTTCAGTGTGTATGTAGAAAAGAGCGGTGATTTTTATTTTAAATAATTGATTAAGTAAAGGTTTTTGCCATAGGGAACAAGCACTGGCTGGAGAAAGACAGAGAGAGGGAAAGTGAGAAATCAGCCCCCAATGGGGATGGCCAGACTGAAATTCCTTCTTCTCTGTTCTGCTCTCAGGATTTTGGACACATCCGCACAAGGGTGTGCACACACACGCACACACACACGCCCCTGGGGTGATTTTCTTTTCATTTTTTTCTGGAGAGGCGTGTACACTCACCAGAAAGACAGAGAGACAGAAAGCGAGAAATCACCCCCACCCCCACCCCCCAAGGAGGATGGCCATGACGCAACCCCTCCTCCTCCATTCTCCTCTCAGGATCTTGGGCACGCACGCACATGCACCCGGTGTGAGTTTAAGCCACTGGGTCCAGGACTCGAACTGTGGTAGACAACATAGGAGTCCAGCGACATAGCCATTACACCAACTGCTGGTCCCCCCGGAATGATTTTCGAGCTGTCAGGTCTGGGAATGGAATCGCAGTCAGCCATGTGGGAATCCAGCGCCACCTGCTAGATCCTATTTATTTATTATTTTAAGAAATTTTGCTGTCAGGTACATGTGCTTCCTTGCTAGAGATAGAGATAGACAGAAAGTGAGAAAATAATCCCCCAGGGGGATGGCCATTCTGTGTTCAAATTTTCCTTTCTCATAAGGACACCAGAGGAAAAGGGATTACAGCATGATCATCCCCATGGGAGGGTGCTTTCTCACTTTCTGTCTCTGTCTCTGCCAGCATGCACACAAGCTCTGGCAAATTTTTAAAAAAGAAAAAAGAAAAGAAAGAAAGAAAAAAGAGGATTCAGAATATGCCTGCTTGTGTCCAGGATCCTGAGGGGATGGAGAATTGGAGGAAAAAGGATTGCAGCATTACCAGTCCCATTGGGGTGCGCTTTCTCTCTCTCTCTTGCTCTCTCTCTCTCTCTCTCTATATATATATATATATATATGTGTGTATGTATGTATGTGTGTGTGTGTGCATCGATACTGCCATTGTGCGTAATAAAAGAAGACAAGATTGAAACAATAAAAAGACTCGGCAAATCAAGGTTGAATGAGACTTTCAATTAGCAATAATTGCGCTTCGGATAAACCTCATTGGCTACGATACTGCCATTGTGCAAAGCTAGGTTGAATGAGACTTTGAGTCCAGGATTAGTCATCTCTTAAACTTTGAGTAACCCCAAGAAGTCTTGTGAGTTCATTTCAAGGATGAGTAAGACCTGAGCAAGCCACTAAGCAGGAACTGAACTGAAAGAGTAAGAGAAAGGAGGGATGTGGCCCCAAGGAGAAGGAAAGAAAAAATTGAGGAAAGAGGAAAGAAAAAAAAAGAGGTCAGGCAGGCTGCAAACTGCCTTAGGTCACCTCAGAAATGACACAACCTCCCCTGGAGACTGAAGTCATACGTGCAAATGTGTCTTGAAAGGCTGACCTGTTACGCAACTATCAAATGTTATTTTCTAGGGTGGAAATACCTGGACATTACACCTTTTGGTGACTGGTACTGCTAGGTTTTCTGGCAGACTGCTTTTTTGTCCTTTCCCTCATCTGATTTTTAAGCCACAAATGAAACACCACAACTCTTCTGTGAGTTGCCAACACCTGTCCTCGTTGTTTGAGAAGATGTTTTCTTTTCTTTTCTTATTTTTTTTTTTAATTAGCTAGTGTGAAAAAACTTCCAAGTCACGTTAAACTTCTGCACTGATCTAACTGAGGGTGACTGTTTAGCTTTCACCTGAGGTCCTGCTATGACTGTAGAAAACAAGAACACTGAGACCAATGTCTCTGGTTCTCAGATCATGTCTGGTGGTCTAAGACCCTCACGAATAACAATTTGGCTATGTTCCAGTGCCTTCCAACCAGATTCTCTCTTTCAGTTTTTAAAGTTTATTCGATGATTTCTTCCATCTGCGGAAGAGATAGAGACTGAGACAGCACCCCTCCTCGGGTCTTAACAGTGCAGCCACCTCCAGCTCCTGCCAGCCCTAGATCATGGACACACACATGCCCAGCATATTCCAGGAGGTCTCCAGAAGTGAACTAGGAACCTTCCCACCTGGGTAAGCCTCGCAGAGTGGTACCTTTTACTGACATATCATTTTCCAGCTCCCCAAACACTGATTCTTTTTCTTTCTTTCTTTTTAAAAAATATTTCCTATAAGGCATTGGGCTTCCTGAAGAGAGAGAGGGAAAGCACCTTTCCAGGGAAATGACCACAAGCCTTTCTCTTCCATTCTGTAGAGGTTTTAAACATGCATGCACTCTTGCCTGGCATGTTTTTCAAGCCACCTGGTTCAGGACTTGAACCACACAGTCTGTATGTAGAATCTAGCCACATTAACAACCATGTCACCAGCTGGCCCATGAACCACTGAGTCTTAAATGCTATCTAAGTCCCACCTGGGGGGCTTCAAAGTGACCCCAGAAAGCCAGTCTTCTTTTCAGTCCTTTGGGATGAACTAGATATTTACAAATCCACACTCCTCCCTCCATCTTTTTAAGTTCTTGCCATAGGGTATGTATGCTTGCTGGAAAGAGACAGAAATCAGACTCAAGGGGGAATGGCCACACTGCAATCCCTTCTCCTACATCCTCTCGGGATTTGAGGCATGCACCCACATTAATCCAGCATGGCTTTCAAGTCTCTGGGCCTGGGACTTGAACCATGATCGACCATATGGGAGTCCAGCACCTTAACTACCACATCACCTGCTGGTCCCAACACACTCCCATTTTTATGTATATCTAAGACCCACTTACTAATAGCTTGCTATGTGAATTGTTACAGGTTAGTTCAGCTTAAAAATCAATGAGCTACCAACTTTTATTGAGGATTCTGACTTAGTATTCCACCAAAAAGTTTGATTTCTTGGCACAAAACCCCGTGAAGCCTTGCCCATCCCAGATGCTATTTGGACAGGTTGTCATCTGTCTGTCATCAGTGTTGCCATGCATGGAGCAAGGTCTCCAATTGCTGCCATTCTCACTTTTAATTATAATCAACTGTTAACCGTAGCTTCGTCATTGCCAAGTTAGCTGACATTTATTTGAACCTTAAGGTGACTAAAGATGCATTTTGCTTCAACTGCATTTTTGGTCTTTGATTTTCCAGTAATGATGCCTAAAGACAATCACGCATTGCAATTCAAATATGAATATTTATCTCTTAATTACAAGAGCACATGTACCCTTAATCTCCCCAAATACACTTTATGTCAACCCCTCAGTATCCTTGAGCTATTTTTCTACCTGTAAGTGAGGAACAATGGGTAGGTTGACTGGTTATTTACCCAGTTTAAAGTGTTCTATGGAAGAAAAAGAAAAGGTTGAAAAGTCACTTTTTGAGACTCTAGGAATAAACAACTGAATGTACTGCACTCTTTGCAAATAGCTTGCAAATGGCATGTGCAAATTCACTTCCCTTGATAGATGCCTGGGAAATAAATATCCGTACTTACCTTTCTCCAATCTCCTCCGCGGCAGGCACCCTGTGGTGGGAGCAGAAAGTAACAGAGGCTGAAGGCCAATTGATCATGGCAGAACAGCAACCAGGAAGCGGGGTGAGGCCGGGGTCTTTCCAGCAAGGGCAATTGCAAATACGACTGGCAGAGTTGCAAAGGACACCGAACTCTGCAAATAGCAGTCACAGTTCATAGCCATGGGTTGGAGTTGTGAAAGCTGTTGGTTGTATACCAACAAGTACCTAGTGTCCACAAAAGCCTGAATTGACTTTGGGAGACTGGTTATGTTGGGATTTCTCTAGGCATCCAAGTATTTAAGAAGCCTGCCCTCCAATAAAAACTAGGCCAAATACTTTCTCCCCTCTCGACCCCAGGAGTTTTATTTGCATCTCTGTTACAGCATTCTGTTCCATCTTGATTTATAGGTGTATAGAAGTCTAGCTTTCCTTGCAGATTTTGGTTTTTTTTTGGACCAAGAGCAGCCTTCCCATCTTTGGGAGGCAGTTGGCGGAGTGTCAGCTGCAGAGCCAGGAGACCAGAGAGACTTGGTGTGAAGTGGCTGCCCAGTGCTGCCTGTATAACTTTTGGACAAGGTACTTCTCTGAGTCTCGACTACTTCATAAAACTGCTACAAGAATTGGAAAAGTCCGTTAGGACTCTATTCTAAGTACTGAAAACCTGACCCAAACAAGCTTATACACGAACACACAACAAATTGGCTCACAGAGGCCAGCTTACATTGTGACTTAATCCAGGGACTAAAATAATAATAATAATAAAGTAGATACATAGCTACAGATATAGATTTCAGTCTCTCATACCCACACATTCACACACACACAAAATCAACCCTGCTTTCTGCAAGTTGCCTTCATTTTCTCCTACTACAAATGAGCTTCCTTCACTCCATGAGTCGCAATGTTTATAAATAGTTTCAGTCTTATTTAAATTCTGTTTAGCAATCCCTGAATGAAAGACAGCTTCTCTTTCCCAATATCCATATATACAAGGCCAAGGAAGGCTTCTGATTGGCCAGATCTGGGTCACATACCACCCCTGTGAGAGGAGAAGGGTCTTCTGATTAGCAGTTCCCATCAGAATCATTTAGAGTGGGAAAAGGAAATTCCCTGAGGAGAGAATATGTGTGAATGTTGTCATTAAAGATAAGGGTTTCTGGCCTGGGGCTAATTTGGACAGACAAAATAGTGACCATCTATTTTAACTGATGGGATGCTGTATATAAGTCTATAGTGACTGGGACTTAAATAGACATTCAATGCTCATTTCATCCTTTCCTTCCTTTGGGAGCCCCCAGTCCCTCTGTTCTCCCTCTTTCCTTAAATATCTGTGTACCAGCCATACCCAAAGTCGCTTCTTAGAGTGCTGGAAAACTCCAGCCAAAGGGGGATGAAGGGACCCTATCCCTCCTTACTTCGTTTAGGAGCAGGAAAGGAGATGTGCCTTTGTTTTGGAATGGAAGGAAGATTCACAGGGGAATCAGATAGCTGTACAACAAAGGCAAGAAAAGAGACCCTGAGAGGCCTGCAGGGGGCGTGGTGAATAATGCAGGACTCACACATGGCCTACTGAGGTTCACTTTTTCACTTTCCCTCTCTCTTTCCGTCTCTCTCTGAAAATATTAAAATAATAATAATAAAAGTTAAATAAAATAATTTTTTTTAAAAAGAGAGAGACCCTGAGAAGCCACCACGAGGCCTGGCATCTTGGAGCTGAGGAACCATGAGCTGGGGGCAAGTCCTATTAAAACTAATGGCAGCTTTCAGAGAAGTGCCAAGAGAATGACGCGCAGGATTTCTCTTCTTTTTCTCCTTGCCCTCCTTCCTGCTGTCTCCCTCCTCCCTTGCCCTTCTCTGCTCTACAGTATTCACGGTATCAGATCCCTCCAGGCAATGTTCCTTCCTTCACAGGCCAGAGGTTCAGCCCCGGAGGCTGCAGTCCAGGGCTGAGTCATGAACAAAATGCAGAGAAATTTCACCAGGCCCAGATAAGGCCCCATGGGAGGCGTCCCAGGTTTCAATCCAGTAACCTGCTGCATGAGGCTTTGCTTTGAGCCAGTGGTGGAGAGGACACCTTCAAGGGAAGGAGTTGTTGATAGACCAGGGCTCTTCTGAGCCCTCCTCCTGGCACAGTGTGGCTCTGGCAATGGATCTAGTGGTAGTAGTGACCCCATCCCTCAGGAATGGGAGGAGTCTACACCGGGGCAAGGATTTGTACTGAGTCCTTGTTTTTTGTTCTGTTTTGTTTCCCCACTGAAATATTCCAGTAAGAGTGGAGATACAGAGAAGGAAGTAATAAATCATTCCCCATAAAAGTTAAATAAAATAATTTTTTTTAAAAAGAGAGAGACCCTGAGAAGCCACCACGAGGCCTGGCATCTTGGAGCTGAGGAACCATGAGCTGGGGGCAAGTCCTATTAAAACTAATGGCAGCTTTCAGAGAAGTGCCAAGAGAATGACGCGCAGGATTTCTCTTCTTTTTCTCCTTGCCCTCCTTCCTCCTGTCTCCCTCCTCCCTTGCCCTTCTCTGCTCTACAGTATTCACGGTATCAGATCCCTCCAGGCAATGTTCCTTCCTTCACAGGCCAGAGGTTCAGCCCCGGAGGCTGCAGTCCAGGGCTGAGTCATGAACAAAATGCAGAGAAATTTCACCAGGCCCAGATAAGGCCCCATGGGAGGCGTCCCAGGTTTCAATCCAGTAACCTGCTGCATGAGGCTTTGCTTTGAGCCAGTGGTGGAGAGGACACCTTCAAGGGAAGGAGTTGTTGATAGACCAGGGCTCTTCTGAGCCCTCCTCCTGGCACAGTGTGGCTCTGGCAATGGATCTAGTGGTAGTAGTGACCCCATCCCTCAGGAATGGGAGGAGTCTACACCGGGGCAAGGATTTGTACTGAGTCCTTGTTTTTTGTTCTGTTTTGTTTCCCCACTGAAATATTCCAGTAAGAGTGGAGATACAGAGAAGGAAGTAATAAATCATTCCCCAGTTCTTGGTCATGGCTACAGGCTAACTGGTGCAAGAGACTGGGCACAAGAGAAGGTCAACAATGGCTACAAGGTACAGGAAAGAGAAGAATCAGATCTGAATTTAAAGCCTGACTCAATTACAGTGTAATCTCATATGAATCACTCAGCCCTTCTGTGCCTTGGCTTCTTGATGTGCAAAAATAAAGACAATAATAATTCACAGGGTTGTTTTTAGGATAAAAGGAGCAGATTATCTGTTTACATTCCCTTCCAGTTCTCTGGGTTTATCTTTTCCCTAGGAAGCTGGAGAGTGTAATTGTTAGGAGCACAGGCTGAATTTGATAGAGTTGGGTTCAAATCCCAATTGTGAATTGTCAAAAGAGAAATCTAGGTATGAAATGATGAGATATCAGAAATTTGCTTCAAAATAATATAGGAAAGGGAGAGATGGTCAGAGGGTTAAAACAAAATTGGCCATGAGTTGATAATGGTTGAAGTAGGCATTGGATATGTAGGTTTTTCATTTTTTAAATATTTTTTAAGCTATTTTTTCAGGCCAGCGGGTAGTGTGGTAGTTGGGGGCACTGGACTCCCACATGGCCAACCGCAGCATGAGTCCCAGACCTGGGAGCTTGCTTTCTCACTTGCCCTATGCCTCTCTCTCACTCTGTCTTCTGTTCAAATTTAAATAAATAGACAAATAAAGTTAAATAAAATAATTCTTTAAAAAAATGATTTTTTCAGTATTTAATTTTATTTGTCATGATCATTATTATTTTTACATTTTTCTACAGGGGTGGGGGAGAATGTGAGAAAGCAAAGTGCCAGGTCCAGGACTTGAACCATAGTCAGTCATGTGGGAGTCCAAGGCCTTTAACCACCATGCCATCTGCTGGTCCCTCATTTTTTAATTAATTTTTTTAATTTGCCAGAGGATGTGTGTACTCTCTGGGAAGAGAGAGAAAGAGAGAGAAAGTGAGAAAGCTAACCCCCCCAGCCCCCTGGGGATGATCATGCCACAATCCCTTTTCCTCCACTTCTCCCTCCTTTTGGGATTTTGGGCACTCACACACATGGCATGATTTTTAAGCCACTGGGTCCAAGACTCAAATCCTGCTGTTGGCCATGTGGTGATCCATCTGCCTTAACCACCATGCCACTAGCTGGCCCATCCAAGGGTTTGTTATACTAATCTGCCTACTTTGTATATGCGGACAGTCCTCGCCTTGCATAGTTTCAATATGTATGGATTTTAGTTATTGTGGTCTAGTTAAATAATACCCAGTCACTCATGACATAATTCAAACTTCAGTTACCACGGCATGTTAACTGTGAAGAATTGCATCAAGTACACCCTTTGCTGCAGGCTCTTCTGTCCATAGATCACTGCGTAAATAACAAATGCACGTCATGGTCAGTGGTCAGTCACATGGCTTCTTTCAAAGTCTGTTGGCGACTAGCTCCTACCTCTCCATTGTCCGATTCACTCGCAGACTAGGGAGCATGTGTTATGTTGCCCTTTTACCGCCTTACATGACATTTTACAAAAATGGATAATCAAAAGAAAGAATGGGCCGAAAAAGTGAAAATGCACTAAAGAAATGAAAAGTGCTAACATTGGAAGTGAAATGTGAGCCAAACCTAAATGAAATGCTAATGAATAAACTACTAACAGTGGCAATGTCGACACTGAAAGAGTTCAAGGCTCTGTCTGTGCAGCTGGAGGAGCTCAGTGAAACTGACACTTCGACGTGTTAGGTTGTAAGGACAGTCATGATCTATTTTTGCATAAAAAAAAAACAGAAAAATATGTCATGACTTTTCCAATGATCCAATACATAGGGAAAGTGGCTTTGACAAAAAGGATGAAGAAGTCCCAGGGGAAGGGACAATGGAAAAATTTTCACATTAAATGCACTGTTACAGTCATCCCTGTGGCCTGGTGGTTAAGGCAGCCAGGTTCCACATGGCCGGGCATGTAGTTCAAGTCCCAGATTTAGCAGCTTGAGAAACACGTCATGTACATGCACCCAAAATCTTGAGAGAGAGAAATGGAAGAGAAAGGACTGTGATGTGACCATTCCCCGTAGCAGGTGCTTTCTCACTTTCCCCCTCTCATT